TGGAGACCGGCCCAGGTCTCAAAAAGGTTGCCGGTCCCTGTCTTAGACCAACACTCAAACCACCATGCCATGCTGATTCTCTGTTCTTTCTAGCTTGCTGAAAATGTTGATGTCACTTTGATGTTAAGCAAATGCCTTTTTATTTGTCTGGTATCTCAACATATAGCATACAGGAGGAGTGGACAAAGTGTGACCCACAATCTACATACAGCTCCTATGGCTATTGTGCCCTCTACAATGCCCCAGCGGTTAAAAAATGCTCTAAATTGATCTGTAGACAGTGTTCCACTAAATACGAAGCCCCAATAGGCCTCCCCAGGGAGTCAAAATGAAATTTTTCTAAAAATTTTATATATATATATATATTGCTTCAACATGCCCTATAGGGGCCCAAGAATGCCCCCAAAATATGACTCTATGTCCCTTGCAGTGCTTTGGAGGCAAACTGATGTCAATTAAAAAAAATATTGGTGGAATCTCCTGGAGGGTTACTGTGGCCCTCTACTCTTCCTCGTATAGAGAGTAAGTGATATTTATTATGGTGTTTGCCCATTCTGTTAAAAATCGATGGTTTTGTTTTAAGGCTGGCTTTGACATTTTATCTCATAATGGCTTTACATCTTTGGCCTTTTTGTCATTTTATTGTTTGCCAACCTGGGAATTTTTACCACAGTTTCTCTTTAAAAAAACATTTGAACATATACAAAAGATGTTAATCTATATGGCTACCATAATTTGTTTGTAATCTTTGGGATTCTTGTGGCCCAAATTTATTACCTGACTTGGCCACGGTCCCAGCTTTCTTGAGGTGGAGAGAGAAACTTGCCTGAAGGAGGAGATATTTCTAAATTTTCAGCAATATCTATAAAAGAGAAGTTGTTTTAAAATGCGGTAGTTTCTGACATTTGTGCTTGCAATAGAAGCAATAGGGTTTGTAAAAAGCAGCAATAGGAGCTTAAAAGATAGTAAAAAACCTGACTTTTTATCCTTTATAGAACCCATGATGAACACAACAAACCAATCAGGCAGGAAACCCATACAATATTATCTAGTAATGAATGGTCACATATGTTTGGTTATAGGAAATAAGCTTCCAGAACTATCTGTTTCCATTGGTTCTAATTCAGACATATTTCTGATTTCTTTAGATGAAATCAAAATGTAAGGAAGATATAGATCACATCCAAATACAATGGCAAAGTTGTGATAAATATTTAGTTAGGCTCAAACCTCAATATTGAGTACTTTGGTTGTGGTTTGAGACTATGAACTGGTGTGTATGGTGCATACTTCTAAGTATGAGTGATGCTGTGATAAACATGGCCTCTGAAGGAATCATTGGTATAACCTTCTTAAACATCAGAATTACTGCTGTCTCATTTTCAAACTCATGACCTTTGCATCACCTCTGAACACTGTCTGGCAAATGTGCTTTGTGAGATTACAGATCTGCCTATAGAATCCACACTCAAGTTACACTGCCAATCACACTAATTAAAATTTATGGTTCTGTGTAAAATACAAATTAAAAAAAAAGCAATTTAAATGGTTTCTTCTAAAACTCCCCGTGGTGCTCAAAGAATATATTTATGACTAATAGCATAAAGCATAGAGGTTTATTACCTCCTAGGTGCTGGCTTGCTTTGACACACTGCATAACTCTTTGTCTATACAGGGGATAATTGTTCTGCAGCATTTTAGCCGCCTCCAAGTTCACCGCATTATTCAAGACTGGATTAGACAGCAAAACCTGTGTAAAGACACATGCACATACCAGTTAAAGTTTTATTTATCATCAGATTAAACCCAAAAGTAAAACTGGTTTTATGAATGTATAAAAAGTCATAAAAACAATTCAAAGGTTTCTTTAAACATGCCTGTGAATATACTGGGCACAAATCCTGCTCTATGCATGTATGCTGATTTTAAAAAAGTGTAATCAGATTATATTTCTTTTCTTTCTACTCTGTCTTTCTTAATGGCCACATTCCAACAGGATGTCACGGCCAAGCACAGATAAGGGACAAGAGGTAGGATGAAGGAGCCAATCAGTTTATTACTTCTCAGCTATTATATCAATTCACAGAGAGCTTACATCCCAATCCATGTGATATAGTGAATGATGAATGTCTGACAAGATAGGGTTAACTCTTGCTCCTAGCACATATAGCATATACATGTGGGTTCTTGAATGCTTCTTACTCCAATGGAAGAAAAGGACTCTTAGGCCGCCATGTAGCAATACCTCTAAACTACGGTATGTTGTGTCTCTGGAATGGCAAGTGCCCCTGCACCCTGCCTAAAGGAAACAGAAGGAAGGAGATCGCCCACAGCTTTTTGTTTTGTTTTTGTTTTTGTTTTGTTTTGTTTGGATTCATCCATCTGACAGCATTCAGCTGGACATCCTGGAACTGAAATTCAGGTATTTGTCATGGTGTACAAACTGGAGGAAGGAACAGCGACAATTTAAGATACACATATGATATCATATTGCTAGCAAAAAATAGCCAAGACTTGGAAGGATTACTGAAGAAAGTGCAAAGGCAGGTTTACAGTTGTACATTAACTACAAATTATTTACATAACTTTAAAGTAGACAATAAAGACATTAAATAGTATAAGGTTTCCCATAACTTCGGTCAGTTATTAATCAGAATGGAGATTGCAGTTAATAGATCAGAAGACTAGGACTTGGAAGGGCAGCTATGAAAAAATTAAATAATATCCTGAAGTGTCAAGATATAACACTGAATACTAAAGTAAGGATTGTCCATACCATCATATTTCTAATTTCTATGTAGGGCTGTGAAAGTTACACAGTGAAGAAAGCTGATAGGAAGAAAATCAACTCAATGGAAATTGCTGGAGAGGTATTCTACAGATGCTGTGGACCTCTAAAAGGACAAATGAATGGGTCCTAGGGCAAATCAAGCCTGAACTCTCCTTGGAAGCCAATATGACTAAACCAAGACTGTTAAACTTTGGACATATTATGAAAAGACATGACTCACTAGAAAAGACAATAATGCTTGACAAAAAGTATAACATAGTAGGAAAAAGAAGACAATGGCAATCCAGATGGATAGACTCAATCAAGGAAAACACAGCCCTGAGTCTGCAAGACTTGAGCAGGACTGTTGATGATAGATAGAGTGACTTGGAAGTCTCTCATTCATAGGGTTATTATGAGTTGAAGTAGATTTACAGCAGTTAACAACAACACACAAAGTATAGTGACAGAAAGCTAGTCAGCTTTTTACACTATCCACAATAATATCCTGCAAGGTTCTGCAGCCAGCGCAGAACAGTGGTGAAATAGTGGCTGATCCTAACATCATCACTATGGCATCTGAAAGAGCATGCCAGCCACCTTTCCATTAGCAGTATATGAAGTGATCTCACACGCACAATATCCAAAGTAAAGACGGTTATTACTGCTACTGCTTTTACAGATAGATTGCTTCTCATTGTATTTTACTAACTGTAACAACAATCTTGTTTATATTTTACTAACTATAACAACAATCTTGTTGAAATTGTATGAGAGCAGGTTAGTAAGAAGCATAATAAAACCATAATCAAAATGAACTGTAAGGAAAGAAACTGAATATTTCAAAGCTTAGTTGAAAGATAAAGCCAAAGAAAAAAGACTGTATGACAAAGACAAACCCAGACTCACTAGGGAATCGATTTTGTAGTCCATGTCATGGACGGAAACACACCTGGTGCCACGTTGGCTGCACTGACATGTTTCTCCTTCC